TAAAACATATATTAATAATATATGGTATAAAACACTATAATATAAAATGTAAATCTTATTCTATAATATAAAATGTAAATGTTCATAACATATGTGATTATAACATATATCAATCACATATGATTTTGAGCATATATGACTAAAACATTTATGACTATAATGTATATTAATAATGTATGATTTAAAGCATTGTATTATAGTTTATAACATATATTTATCACATATGATTTCATCAATATTAATAAAAACATTTATACTTTATAACAGATATCAACGATATCAATCACATACAATTTGTGTTGAGTATTATAGTTTACATATCAAATATAATTCACATATGTTTCTTTAATAGCTAATCATAAACTGTTAATAAAAGAACTTAATCACATGTGATTAAAATAAGACGATTTTAAACATATACTAATCAAATGTTTTCTGAATGATTTAGGTCTTCCTACAAACATAAATCACGATTATTAACTTCATACTCAACAATTTCGATTTATACCACGTAAATACAACAACAAATGCAATAATCGACCTTAAATGATCAACTTAAGGTGCAATATATTAAATCTAACTCCTTTCAAACTCAAAACTTTCAATTTATACTTCATAATTTATATTTCATACTTCACCATTTCGATTTATACTACATAAATACAACAACAAATGCAATAATCAACATTAAATGATCAACTAAGGTACAATATATTAAACATAACTTTTTTGATGCATTTATTAAGAAGAATGAACGAAAAATGCAGTTATAATGCAAGAATCGGCGATAAATGATCAAAATAAGTTCTGAAAAATGACAATCTTTACTTTTTTGATGAACAATATGTTACGTAACTCCTTTCAAACTCAAAATGTTAAATAACTGATTCTATTAATATAATATATGAATTAAATAAAAATGTTAGTGTTTAATCATCAAAAACAGTTATACAAAGCGAAGATTTTTACCTTTTGATAAAACGAATAGTTAAACCTAAAATTCTTGGACGATGATGCAATTTCTTATTCTATAACAATCGACGAGCAACAAGCATAAAATTTTGGAAGAAAAATACTATAAATCACTAAGATATAGGACAAATTGCGAAAAAATCAAATTGAATCACTCTGAATTCAAATGATACTCTCGAGCTTGGGTCAAATATGTAAATGAATCAGACAAAATAATCGTTTATAACAGACAAAATAACGAAAATACCCCTGAATATATAAACACGCATGTTTTTCAATGTGTTAGGCAAAAAATGTTCTCAATCCAAAAAATGTTCTCATTTGAACACACACACAAACACACACACACACACATATATATATATATATATATATATATATATATATCAAGTTAGGGGTTGGAGTTTAAGATCATTAAATATATCAAACAAAACAAAATATTATAGAGGGTTTAGGTACCTCATTCTATATATATTTTTAAGGATATATTCATTCTTCCTCTCTCTCTCTCTCTCTCTCTCTCTCTCTCTCTTTCTTTCTCTCTCTCTCTCTCTCTCTATATATATATATATATATATATATATATATATATATATATATATATATATATATATATCAACTGAAGGATTGGAGTTTAAGATCATTAAATATATCAAACAAAACAACATATTATAGAGGGTTTAAGTAAGGTACGTCATTTTATATATATTTTTAAGGATATATTCATCCTTCCTCTCTCTTTATATATATATATATATATATATATATATATATATATATATATATATATATATATACAAAATTACGTAGTATGATGTGGTTAGGTACCTAAGTTTATATAAGGTTGTTAGGTATATTCACTTTACCCATATATATATATATATATATATATATATATATATATATATATATATATATATATATATATATATATATATATATATATATATATATATATATATATATATATTCTCACTGGTTGCATGGGCCATGGCACATCCATTGCAATTTATTTGTCAAATAAAAAATCCGTATGCACAAGCCTACTTACGCCATTTTTTGGGCCATATTTTATTGTAAAATAGTTAGAATGATATATTAGTCTTATTTAATCTGAAATATTTTATTTCCACATGAGCTATTAAATATATTTCTTTTTACCCGTTATATATTTTTTATGAAAGGAAAAGGATAAAAATGTCTAACGAACTAGTGTTTCAATCTTATTTTCATCTGATTGTATATAAGGGGTCCTTAAACTTTTTATTTTTTTGTTTTATTTATTTATTTATTTAAACACTTTTATCTGCTACCGTCTATTTTTTTAATAACTAGATATTTTTATTCAATGTGGCATTACACGTCGATGTTGACGTTGCATATGAGCTTGGTATATTAGCAAGTGATTAAATTAACATTTTGCGTAAGTGCGTTAACAAGTAATTCATTATAATTGACTATCCATACTTCAAATCATAATCATAAGCTTATAATAATAGTTCATTTCTTTTGTTACAAGTCATCATATTTTAATAAAATAATAGTTTATTCTTGTTTTGCAATGTATCATCATATTAGATCTCAGTTTATTAATTTTCTATTACAAATTTTAAATTTTAAATTTTAAATTTTAATTATATTAAATTAATAACATTATAATAAAATTTAAAATAAAATTAATACAGATTATAAATTGATATAGCTTCAAGTATTTATTTAAATCAATGATTATATTTTATATATCTAAAAAAATATCTATTAATTAATAATTTATTTAAAATAACTGATTAATAATTTTTAGTTTTTACAATGAAAGTTTAATTAGTTTTGTAATTGTGGTTCTCATGAGTTATAAACTAGTTTTATGTATTTGTAGATCAACGACAATCTTAGCATTGTATACTTCATTTATTTACCCATATTTTCGACCTTGGTCACTCATTCGACTTTACTAGGAAATAGTGAAAGACCAGTTTTTTGTGGCGGCAAGCGGCTAGTTAGAGACTTTACCGACATACTTTTATATGTAATCAATATTCATAGGTTTAAAGAAATTCAAAATATGAACATATGTATCATAGAAAATATAGTTTTCCATGGGCTTAGTGCAAGACAGAATCTTATGTCTTATAAATGACCATAACACATACACTCACTAGGTTTAACCAAATTCAAAATAGGAACACATGTATACTCACTAGGATTTCTAAGACTGCTCGGTATAGGTACCCGTTACCATGGTGCCATATCATCATCGAGCCCTCAACGCCATTGTGGGGATGATGTCTTTCCATGAACACGCTGTTGTAAGGCCAAGAAAGAAGAAAAGCAAAGAGGAAGAAGAGATGAATAAGCGTTAGAGTGGCAACGGGAAGTAACAATGCATTGAAATGGGCAGTTTTCATTTCTCCTTAACGGTGTTAAGGGAGGCTACGTCGGTCTTTCAGTACAGTTGAAAGACCCATATTGGCCAGTCTCATGGGTCGTTGTCTAGTACGAATAGGTCTAGTCTTAACCGAATCCTCTAAAATTCTAGAAACATAGGATTCTAAGTTTTATGGACCAAACATAAAGTTATCTGTATGCATGTTTGGGGAGCATCACATCACTAGTGGTGCATCAACATGTGTTGTGTGAGAATAGTTATGAAAACGTGTTTTAATTGACTTAAATGTTGTGGCCTCAACAAACATGCCCTAAGTCTTAGAATAACATGATTCTTCTCTAGAAGTAATCTCAACATGGTCTCACTCATTCGACATTATTTACTAATATACAAAATTCATTTTCTTGTCAACACCGACATGTATCCAACCTTGAACAAAAAATATCAAATTGGTCATAAATGTGTAACACCTTCAAGTTAGGGTTAAAATTTTATTTAAAGGTTAGTATTTACGATTAATAATTTTCATGATGAGAATGAAAATTTTAATAATGGAAATTTAATTCATTTAAGTATGTGAATTGTGCTGACTTATCTAACTATATTTTGGACATATTTTGTGAACATATTGAGTTTTAGGGGTAATTATAAAAGGCTTAGGACGTAGTTTGCTATAGACAATGTTAGTTAGACTACAAACCCCTTTCATCCATTTGATCTGAACGATTTTGGCTTGCAATTTGAGCGGAAAGCTTAGAGTTGAAAAGATCATTTGAATGTTATTTGAGAATGCTAGTTTCACCAACTCCAAAACTAATGTTCAAACACACATATTTAATGAGATTAGTATTGTATTTCATTGTTCTCATACTGTTATATTGATGTGGATTTATCTCCATAGCAAAAAAATTGTGATTAGAAGCTTTGATGGTAATAATTTTGGAACCGTAGCTTGGTGAATCACCCATTGATTGATAGGATCCCATTTTGATTATGGATTATGTGTTTTGAAGTTATTTACACATAGAATTCAATGTTCAATTTCAAATCCTTTAGGTAAACCAATCGTTTGAATTAAAAATGAGTTTATGATGTTTTAATCGAGAGAGATTTTCCTATGAACGATCAAAGAAATATAGTGTACAAAAAGGCCTTGGGCCGAAAACATATACATGCACTTATGAAATACAAATGGGCCTTTCATGGACTAATAACGATGTGGCTGGTTTTTGTTAGAAAATTTTACAAGATATATACGTATGTTAATATTAATGTAGCTCAAAGCTTAGGCATGGTATATATAAAGATCATAAAGTCAACAACAAAATGAATTTACTAATAGGAAGGTTTTCCAAAATATCGAAGTCGATAAAAACCAAAACCCCGTCGTTTTGTAGAGGATGCAATAGTAACAAAAAAGTCGACATATATACTTTTTATGAACCACAAAAATACAACAACAAATGAAACGAAAACGTACCCATAAACCATGGGAGTCTAGAAAGTGACATCTTCCATTCATCACTACCCTCCAAAACCCTTTCCTTTTCCATTCTATTTTTCATTTGCCACAAACTACTTCAGATCCTTCACGCCTCTTCTTCATCATCCACTTCACGAATTGACCACTCTTGTACATCATGCTTCAAACACTTGTACATTCACACACCCCCATCATCTTTTACCACATACATACATACATACATACTTCCCAAGAGTTCCCGCAACCATATCTATCATATTATATTATATCATATCGAAACCTTTTCACAATATTTATTCTACATTTACATATTATTATAAGTGTCTACCACTGTACATTTCATATACAATCTAAGTTACTTCTTTTTCTTTTGCTAAAAATAAAAAATAAAAACATAAAACCCAACACAAAATCTTATTCTAATTTATATTTAGCCAGTATACATATATATATATATATATAACCTTTTTCACAAACTACACTATATGTCCACACGTATATTCACCTTTGTATAAGAACGACCTTGAACCCATAACCATGGATAAGATATGGAAGTTAAATATTAAACCAGTAAACCACCTTGGCCCTTGCTTTTGACTTTTTCTTTCACAGACCATTAAAAAGGTGCCCGGCGAGGAATGCCCTTTCTCCGGCTGGAATTCCGGTGGTTGAATATGGGTGGAGTTCCCGGAGACATGTTGGGGGTTTCATCACCGGAGGTGGAGGAACACGACATATCAGACCCATTACGCCCATAAAGATTGAACTGAAACATATTGGTGTCGATAAGCTGGTTGAATAAATGTGACCTTCGGACCTTTTTAGGTGTCACCGGTTCTTCTGGTTCATAAAACTCCCGGCCATGTTTCATCTTTTGAGTGAAGCTCAACTCCCGATCACCTCTCTTCATCCCACCAAGCTGACCAAGTCAAAGTCAAACCACCATACATCAGTCATCAATCATCATGTTCGAATGATTTAATCAAAAGGGAAGAAATTCGAAAAGTCTGTACCTTGCAACCAAGGGAACAAAAACGGAAAGCATCAACGAGACTCCGACCACAAATCTCACAGTGATTGGTGACACCTTTACCAGGCCTAGGCTGAGGTCGTTCGTTCAAGAACACTATCTTCGCGCTGTTGATAATGTACGTTTGTACACACGAAATGTCCAGAAATCTTTGAATCTCGTTCACCCTAACCACGTTATGGTAGGAAGATCTTCGTATCTGATGAGTCGCGACAAAAATTCAAAGAATTAGTACATTATGTTAGATAGGCATTTCGTCGAACACTGAATGGGCGTGAATTGTGTTTACGAATTTTACCTGAACAACACGATGATCTTTGTGATGGGTCAAACAGTAGGAACAGAGAGAGTTACCACAGCAGTCCAAGCAATACATGTTGCATTCACTTTTATTAGCATCTCCATGGAAACGACAAGTGGTAAAGTAATCAGCTCTTAGCATTGGTATCAACCATGGCGGACCGAGTTCCTGATGCTCCATTTTACCGATTGGACTCACCTAATCACAAAAAACAGTGTTTTAATTATGCATTCGAATTAAAACAAAACAGATGAAGAATCATCATCAACCAATTAAACAAAAATATGCAATACTTCAAAATCTTTAGGTAACTAACTCTGTAACATGTTCTAGAAGATGTCAATTACCATGTCTTTGTTCGAATTGAACTTACAATCTTCAATCTTTACCCTGTTTTACAGAAACCCAAATCAGAGAAAAGGGATTAGAACAAATCCTTTGAATTATAACCGTATATCAGAACAAAAAACCCACATTCAACGATGAGATTACATACAAGAAAAACAGAGTCAATAGAATAACACAGGAGAAAAACGAGAAAAACAAGAAAAATACCTTTGAAAAAAATGGAGGAATTAATGGAGAAGAGGGTTCTGGAGTTGTGTGTGTGTGTGAAACGTATATGAATGAATGAAAGGCAGACGGTGAAAGAGAGAAGGAGGAAAGACTGGGGAAGCTCGAAAAGGATTGAAAGGAATTTGTAAGGCGGTCATATATGACTATTTATATTTCTATATTTAAAGATATTTAATTATCATTTATATATTATCGATTATAATATAATATAATATTTTTTAATTTAACAAAAATAAGTATGGGTTAGGTTCACTTTACAACCCTCCACTATCTTTGTTTAAACAATTAGTGGATTTGGTTATGCAACTTTGAGTCTTTTTTCACCTGTGTATCTACGCATGTGTAGTAACATACAATGATATTAAATTTGATAACTTTAATATACAATTTTTGTTGAGTTTGTTCAATTTCAATGGTTTTTATAAAAATGTTTTAAACATGTTTTAATTATTAGACATAAAATTAGGCATAACTGTAAACGTTTGTCCAAATATGATTTTTTTTTGTCGTCAATTAAACTGTTATAAAATACTAGTTATTAAATGTAAGTACATAAATTCATGTTCTTTTTTCAAATGGTCATTTTGGAATTGGAAAAAAACAATGAAACCTTTTTGATTTCTAAGGTTTGTCAATTTCGGATTTTAAGATAATGATAGTATATATAAACTCTTTTAAATGATAAAATTACTTTGGTACATATAATTTAGAAAATGTATTTTGATAATGAAATTAGCAGAGAAATTAGGGATGAGCAAAAACCAAACAGAAAAATAAAATCGAAAAAAACCAACATAACCGAAATCAAAGCAATAACCGACGATTTAGGTTTGAATTTTACAAAAACCGAAAAATAACGGTTTTGTTCGGTTTTAACATATAAAACCGTCCATAAAAAACGAACCGACCTACATATATACTATTTATTATGTTTTAAACTTTTAGTTTTAGACTTTTGACTTTTTTTTCTTTTATTATTTTATGTTTATTTGGTGTTAAACTGTGATTTTTTGAACACTTTTATCCTTTTAGAATACTAGAATTCGTACTATTTATTTTAGTATATTTAAAGTAGATATAATAATATTTATCACAACGTACTTTCACTAGGTTTGAACACAAAAACAAGAAAACAAACAAGAGCTAATAAACCTACGGTTTAAAACCGAAAACCCATAACCCAACCTGGAAAACCGAAAAACTGAACATATATGGGTTTAAAAACCGAAATACTGACTTTCAACGGTTTGGTTTGGTTTTAGCCAAAAACCGACCCACACTCATCTCTAAGAGAAATAAACATTGTGCTCATCTTCTACACGATTAATGAACTACTAACTCCATTCGTAGAAGAGTGTTTTTTTTCTTTTTTTTCTTTTGAATTCATTTAATAAACATTAGATACTTTTAACAATACAATGTAAATTGTAAATTTCTAAAAGATTTATATAGGTAATGCATAAAAAAAATGCAAGTTTTTAAAAGGGAAAATGACTTATGAGGATAATGAACTATTGATTTAGTTCATATTTAGTTAATTTTTTTATACACCATATAACATCAAACTTGTTGAACATGTTTATATTTTACCATTGTGATCTTCTACTATAGGTAAAAAGATAATATATGAACAGTTCAACAAATTAGATGATATATAGTGTAAAAAAAGAAAATGATTAAATGTGAACAAATCATATCGTCACACATTTCTCGTTGTCGTCGCCACTGTTGACACTCATCCTTGTCGGTTCTTTGCTCTTTTTCCTATAGGCGATCGATCCTCATGGATAAGGCTTTGGATGTCTCTCTCACATAATCACCCACTACAAGAATATTGGACTTTATTGGCAACACCTTTAGCGGCGATAACCACCATTAGTGGCGACATCAAACATTCACGTTAGACATCATTGTTAATGGTGGTTGTCACCGCTAAAGGCGTCGCCACTAATGCTCATCGACTCCAATTTGCATGAATATCTGGGTTTAAATTATATATGTCGATTTATTGTCTAATCCAACGGCTGGAAACACGATATGCACACAAATGATAGCAACGATACCAATATCGGCGATGAGTGTAGCCGCTAATACTCGAAAAAATACCGTAAAAAATTTCCTCCAAAGGGTTTCACCGCTAACAGGAGATGTAGATATTTCATCCAAAAAAAAATTGTGAACCCATATCTCTCTATCAACATTCTAGAGAACCCAAGTCTCTACCTTCATATTTTCATCGATTATGTCCACAATCATCAACCTACAATATTACTTCATCACCATTGTTTCTTTCTTGTTGCATCATTGATGATCCCCACAGGCGACGACTACAGGTGCTTCTCATCCTCTCTTTTCTCTTTCTCTTCTCGCCAACGCCATTGACCGGAGTTTAATTTTTTTATTTCATCATCGGTGACCTTGTTCCTCTAATTCTATCTTGTTGACGACAAGTATCAACACCGCTGTCATATTTCCACCACCACCATTCTCGTTTCATACCACCATATTTTTTTTATTCCATTTTATGAAGTATTTGCAGTCTAGTTCTTCATATTGATCGTGTGTGTATAATCTATGTATATGTAATGTATTTATAAACGTATGTAATGTGTGTATTATATTGGATGTGTGTGTCTATATATATATATATATATATATATATATATATATATATATATATATATATATATATATTGAAAACATAAGTTTATGTATGTATATGTGTATATATTTATAGTACAAATATAAAATTTGTGATTATAATGTATGTATAAGTGTATTTTGAGATGTGTATTTTTATGTATAAATGTATATTATATGCATTTGTATATATGAAAACCAGGGTCGGTCCAAACATATATGGGGTCCGAGACAAAAAGAAAAAAAAAAGGTCTCTCAAAAACAAATATAATAAAGATTATATATATATATATATATATATATATATATATATATATATATATATATATATATATATATATATATATATATCATTTATTCTTCATTACAAATGTGTTTAATTAACAATAACAAGCAACCAAATTTGTTTATCTTTTTGAGCTAATATGAGTTTAAACCAACTTTAGAACACTAACAATCATCTAGACAATAATTTTTCTATATATATATATATATATATATATATATATATATATATATATATATATATATATATATATATATATATATATATAGCCTAGGAAATTTGGGCCCTTGGAAACGTGGGCCCTGGGCGGTTGCTCGGGTTGCCCACCGTCTAGACCGGCCCGGATGAAAACAGAAAGTTATGTATGTATATGTGCATATATATATATATATATGTGTGTGTGTGTGTGTGTACAATGTATGAAAGAATGAATATTGGTGTGTATATATATATATATATATATATATATATATATATATATATGTGTGTGTGTGTGTGTGTATGCAAACTCGTATGTATGTGAAGTAACATAGCCTTAGGGATTTGTTAATTTGATTGGAATATGACTTAACTTTTAATGGCTTAATTATTAGGGACTTAGTTAGAAAACCCCTAAAAACTACATTATATGTAAAGTAAAATACTATAATGGAAAAAACAAAGAACTAGGATGATAAAATTCACAAAGCTATTTAAAGTACAATACTAAAATCGAAAACAACATAATATGATTGTTTAAAGAACAATGCTATAATAGGAAAAAAAACAAATATATAAAAGTACAATGTTATAATAGAAAAAAAAAATCAATATAATATCTAAAGTACAGTTCAATAATAGAAAATTTAAAACAAATCAACTGTCATAAATAAAACATTATGGAAAAGTAAGATGCTATAAATAACAAGAACAGGCTAAAATTTTATTATGTTTCTTTGTTATAATCTTGATAAGCTTAGAAATACCCACCCGAAATTGATTTAGAAGTTAATTTCAGTTTGTCCCCATTTTGGTACTGCTTTTTTTCGGGTTGTCCTCGTATAGTGGTGCTTGTTTCAAAGAAGTAACTTATGATGTATTTAACAGTTTATTTAAATTCAATTAATCTAATTTATAATGTTTAATAGAACAAGAGTAGACTCCAAGACCTTTATGATGCTCATGCGGATGGCCACTGGGTATTTGACAGTCCTTTAGCTGATGAGCATTATGTAAATTATAATTTTATTATATAAGTGTTTATTTATATTATGATGTTAATCATTTGTTTAAAATGCAAAATGCTTTAGTCCAAGAGTTAACTGAAGAAAGAGGTCTAGCACTAGAGAAAGTAAGATGTGGTTTTGTACAAAATTTGGGTGCTTGATGCAGCCATATCAAAGGTTTTGGGTGTAAACATTCTAGGTTGTGGGGACAACAATCATAGCCACTACCACAATAACAAGTAAAACAAGATTATTTTATGCAAGATTCCAAAATCACGATAAAAATTTCCATTTTTAAATTTAAAAGAAATCGTTGTTGTCAAACAAAACCCATAGCCAAGCCAAGTACCAAATATAAATAACCCAAGATCAATATGTCACAAATCCCAAAAGAAACATGTCATCAAAGAATGTGTACGATCATGCCTTTCCCTTGCCACGATCATCTAAAGTACCTGAAAAAATAAACTGAAACTGTAAGTCAAAGCTTAGTGAGTTCCCCCTTGTACCACCACACAACATATAACAGCATGCATATTGGGTCCACAACTAACAAACTAGATTACTCCTTAGTCCACGTCATTAGTCTGGCTTGCCTTCCGACCCACAACTCATGTATGGCTTACCCTTGAGCCCACAACACAAGTTTAGCTTGCCTTACGGGCCTACAACTTATGTATGACTTGCTCCCAGGTTTATTGGCTTCCACACAAAGCAGCATTGCCTCAACCCATCCATACTATGTCGACATATACATAACATATAACATATATCAATCAAACAGATAATAATATAACTAGTCAACAAACTAACAGGCAGATCTACCAATCACTACCACATAATAACATCCTATATACCAAGATACATAACCTAGTGGACTGGTATTGGTGCCTTCGACCCATAAGTATAGTGAGGAAAACTCACCTCTTAGTCTGAAAAGGTAGTTAAGCAATACACAGCTCAAGATACCAACTCTATAGGTTACCTGTACAACAAATAGTGGC